ACGTTGTGAGATTTAGAATATTTTAATCAGGGCATTCCCGATTAGGTAAATGTAGATCGCTTTGGACGGACCAAACTATATTAATGTTACTGATTTTTCTCTGCACATTTAAATAAATATTCAAGGTTACCGATGATAATTTGAAATAGTACAGTTTTGATTTATACGCTCGTTTTCGTGAGCCATTTTTATCTATAAAATTATTTAATTGAAAGTAATTCAGAATTTCGATGTTACAACAAAATGATCACCTATTTATTAGAAAATTGAGCTAACGCAAAATATTAAAAAATATATAACGGCTATTCAGTTATTTTCGCACCATATTCCTCGCCAAATAATAATAAAAAATATCCTGTCTCAAACCCGCACTTCTGTTTTATCCCTTTTTTCCCCATGTTTTTCATACTTACAACGGTGAACCCTTGAGGCCAAACAAAACTCTTGTGAAGATCAAAAGATTAAAATTACATAATGCTAATCTTTTAATAACCGTGAATTTAACCACGCCTTTACCAGGTGGTGTCAGTATAATACACATGCATTGTATTTACACAGTACTAGACTGAAGCAAGGATTTGTATAGTAAGACAAATCCTCGACTGAAGCAGGAACATATATATTGACATGTGTTAAAAACGGACTCGCTATTATCCTAATAATTTCTGATATTATCAATAAAATGTCATTCAAACTAGTTTTATAGTGATGCTAGTGTATCAAACTTGTATTCTGTCACTTCAAATTTGTTAAAATCGCAAGCATTTCATCACAGAATTGTGCAGAATGCAAACCAGGTAATAAAAAAATGGCGGCCATTGCCGCGATGATTTACAAATTCCCAAACTATTATAAAACACTTCACATCAAATAAATCAAACTTATTTTGGTAATTTTATATGACAAAATATATCTACTAAATGATAAAACTTGTATTTATTTACAATTAGAGTTATGTGGTTTATTTGTTGAGCAGTTCTGATAGTTTTTCAGTCAGACGCTACCAAAATCCGTAAATCTTGGGAAGTCTCGGGGAGTCCGAGATTTTATCAATTTTATACTGAAAAGCGTATCAGATTCATTTCCCGTTAGATATACTGTTCCCAGACTGAAGTAATAGGTGAGAATACAAACATGCATTTTTTTATTACACTATCAGTTATATATGTTTGTTCAACATATCCGTCGGAAAAAAAATCATAAAAAAATCTATTGTATGATTTACTTTTATTACTATAATCATATCAGAAATCCTTAAAATATAAAAGGTGCATTTTAATTTTAAAAGTTGCACGGCTGGTCACTTTTCTTTCTGAATTATTAGTTGGTTAATAGCTACGCCAAAAGTCGTCGATGCGCTTTAAATCGCGTTATAAGATGATTAACGAACAAGACTTAAAATCAGATTAATCCACTCCCGGCATGCAAAAAGACTTAAACTACGTCACAGAAGTCAGGAAGTTCGAATAAATAAAATTAATAATTCCCAATTTTCTTCTTTATTAGTGTTCATTTCCAGATAAAACTTGGTGAATATGTTTTTTATGGTATTATGAACATAATAAGATGATAAGTAAAAAATCGCGAATTTTCCCTTTAATTGTTGAGCACTACCCATAGGGTATAATTGTAGCAACTATATACACCTTAGAACATAAGGAAACATTTAATTATGTACAGATGACTGAATTTAGGCAATAATAATTACTAAATAATTAATATTATAACTAATTCATAGGATTGTCATCATAAAATTTTAAAAATAATATTCATAATGTGCTGAAGTGTAAGAATAAGTTAAGTAAGAACTGGATATATTTACAAATAAGAATTTAGAATTTAAGTGGTCTTAAATTAAACTTTCTTATAATTGTTAGTTAAAGGTGCTATACGTACATCAGAATTTATAATGAGAAGGTTATTTTATAAGACTTATGTAAAAGGGTTGGGGTTTAGAACGATTCATCATATATACATGTTTTCCTTCACAGTTTAAAGTTACCTTATTTCGGATCTTATCATTATTCTTTAAAGGTAACTGGATATTTTAAAACTTTGCAAAAATTTTTATTTAATTTAGGTCCTAATACGTCATAAAATAGTAAGATGGTAAAGTAGGGAACTATTTTATTTTCAAAAAGTTTACTTATACTGTACTTGTGTTCAAGTTTTTTATCCTTTTTGTCCTCTGAGTATATGCATGGCTTGGGTGAAAGAAAAGCAATTGATCTATACTCATGCAAATAACCCTTTCAATTATGAATTCTTATAAACTGAACAAGTAATAGCTTTTCTAAAAAGCTAGCCGTCTCATAGCTGATGAAAGTGGAAAATGTTTTCTCTTTGTAGTTCAATTCGTTCAAAATTGTATGTAAATTGTAGTAGATAACAAAAATTATAAAAGGCTTATACCTTTTTTTAGATTTACCAATTTTTTATTTGGGGGGGGGGGGGGGGGGGGGGAGTATTAAAACTGGAAATTGGGGGTAATGTCGTTTTATCGATTATTTTTTTTCAAACAGATATCGGAGTTGATCGTTGGCTTTTTCTTTGGTTGTTTGGTTGTTTTTTGTGTTAGAAAAGTATGGCCGCTTCTACCTGAAAGTTTTTCGTTCATAATAGGCATCGAAAAGTGTAGAGACTAGAGAGTGAAACGTAGTAAAATTCAAACATATAAGAACACAATTAATATATTTCCAACGGTATCTCACATCTTTTCAAAAATGATCCTTAAAATGTAAAGCTTCACATATATGTATGGTTATTTTTGTTGTCGATGAAGATTTTGTCTATTCATTGTAGTTGGACTGCAATGTGGAATGCCCCACGCCTCTTTTTCTATATTTGAATAATGAGTATCCTTAACAATTAAATGTTTCTTTTTTCAGATTATTTGGTTTTATTGGACTTCTTGATTTTATTTTTTGATGAAAAATACTCAGAGTCGTGAGACGGGTAATTTGTTATATAAGACCTATTGTAAGCGCCTGAAAACAAAGTAGTTTCGCCGCCATTTTTTTTTCAAATCATAATAGACGTCGTTGGTTATAAAGAAGGTGATAAGTTCTGCAAAGCTACTTTAAGTTCACTATGAGGCCATCAACATAAGAGAATCAACAAATTTGACCAAAACTTAATCAAGCATACAGCTTGATACTGTATCTTTTGTTATTGTTTTACTTGTACATATCTTCATATTTATTTACTATACCATTTAATGTTGGATGACGAATAAGGCCCTTATCATACTTACCCTTAAAAGCTTGACATACTGGATTGACATAATCTTTTGTGGGAGACCGTTCGTATGTTGACATATAAATGTCTTTTTGTTTTATGATCATAGTATATGTATGTTTATACTTGTTTTTACAATTCTTGTAGAAAACATACAATTAAGAATAATCTTTTAAAGTGCCAACAGTATTTTCGTCTTTTAAATTTATAATTTTCTTTTATTTCTCTTTCTCTCATTTAGCATGTCTAGTATAAATAGTCAATAAACCTCAAAACAAACATAAGAAGTTTGTTCCTGACCCTGATCATAGTTCCAAGTAATATCTGAATTATTTTTTGCTATTAAGATTTTTTTTTGTAACAAAAAAAAATGTTCCGGCGTGACATTTGTTCCGCTGGAACTTATTTCATAGGAAATATGTTCCACCGGAATTTATATCACAGAAAATTTTTACCCGGAATATATATTTTAAGAAAATATGTTCCAGCACTGTAAAATTTGTTCCGGAACTAATTTTTTTACTAAATGTTAAATAAGTTCCGGGTGTTATAGATTTACATGATGCATTAACTTTATATCAAGCAAAACATTCTATAGTTGTACCTGACAAGTTTAATATTCAACATTGAAGTCTTTAAACAGCACGACAACGTTCAAAATAAGGTAAATCTTTGAGAAATTCAAATTAAGTCAGCATATATATTGTACGTAGATAATATGATTAAAAAACAAATGCACAACTATGATTAACAACTGCGATAAATATTTAAAACACAATATTTAATTTTTTGTCTCGCCTTGACGGAGTCAAAAAGCGAGACAAAGGTATGCTGTTTCCGGCGTCGGCGGAGTAGTCAACAATGTATTAGTTTGTGATTAGGTCTAGTTTATGGCGAACCACAAGTGGTAGGTCAATCATATTTGGTATGCAGTTGTATTAGCATTGGCACATCTCATTTCCATGGAGATTATTTGGCCTTGCCCCCTCAGTCATGGTCTATTGACTTTGAAACTTTTGCTTATTTTACATGTATTAGTTTGTGATTAGGTCAGTTTATGGGGAACCACTAGTGGTAGGTCAATGATATTTGGTATGCAGTTGTATAAGCATTGGCATATCTTATTTCCATGGAGATTATTTGGCTCCCTTAGTCATGGTCTATTGACTTTGAGAATTTTGCTAAGTTAACATGTATTAGTTTGTGATTAGGTCAGTTCAAGGGGAACCATTTAGGGTAGGCAAATGTTAATTGGTATTCAGTTGTATAAGCATTAGCAAATCTCATTACCATGGAGAATATTTGGCCCGCTCCCTCAGTCATTGTCTATCGACTTAGAAACTTTTGCTTAGTTTACATGTATTAGTTTGTGATTAGATCAGTTTAAGATGAACTGCTAATGTTAAGTAAACGATATTTGGTATGCAAATTTATTGGCATTTGCAAATATCGTTTCCATGGATATTATATAGCCTCACCCCCTCTTTATGGTATTGACTTTGAAACTTTTACATAGTTTATAAGTTAATGTTTGTGTTTAGGTTTGTTTAAAGGGAACGACTTATAATAATTCAATGGTATTTGGTATGCAGTTGTATTAGCTTTGGCACATCTCATTTACATGGAAATTGTTTAGCCATGTACCTCAGTCATGGTTCATTGACTTTGAATATTTGCATAACTTATGAAACATGTTAAAGTATTGCTATTTTAATTTCAACATTTGCATAATCAAAATTGCAAAAGGATGAGACATATTTCTGTGATAACAGTTTATCTACAAATTCTGATATGAAGTAACATATGTTGAATTGCAATATTCATAAATAAATGATTGATCTATAAAAAAATTCTGACGGATTTTTCTTATTCTTCGCTTATCTGCCTCATTAAATTATTGTCATTTGGATATTTTTGTATGGATAATGTAATTAAACATTTTGCTATACTCCACAGAATCCATATTGGATGTTTACACCTTTTATTTATTACATTATCAATATAATACATGTTTTTATAATGTACTTGAATTATAACTTTAAGCTCACTGATAACAATGCTCAGTATAAAAGATAACTTGTATAACCAGTGGAACATATTTCACAGACAAGGAACTTATTTCACCAGGTAAGGAACAAATCTCACAAACCTGGAACTTATTTCACTAGGTAAGGAACAAATTTCACAAACCCAGAACTTATTTCACCAGGTAAATTGTGGAACTTATTTTATAGAGATGGAACAAATCATATAGAAATTATCTGTGAAAAAAGTTCTCCCAGAATATATTTCCTGTGATATTTGTTCCACTGGAACTTTTTTCACAGGAACTAATTTTGGCTCACATATTCACAACTATTCTATATATTATAGTGAGACTTGGGAGGATAAAAAAATTTAAAATGTTGTAATGACATGTCCATTGAAGAAGACCGTAGATTGAACTTTAGAAGTAAATTGTCACGTTTTGTTTGTTGCTTAATTGGGTTGCTGTCTAAATTAATTATGTATACTTCACATCTCCTTTAAAATCATTCATAGAAATTAAACATTGCTTAAAATATGTTAGCATACATCGTCTGAGAGTAGTTTTTTGCTCTTCTTATATTCCCTTTTAGATATATTTTTAGTCTTCTGTTCTTCAACCTCTGCTATATCTTGCTAGGAAGAGCTAGCTAGGTAGATCTAGACAACATCCAACTCAGCCAAACGATCTTGGGGTGTGTGTGGGGGCACTTATTATGTAATGAGTGGAAAGGATGAGTCGCTGGGATAGGTCACTATTTGAAGCTTCATGAAATTGCATGAGGTCGAGAAATTTAGGTGAAATATAACACAAGGTTGATGATTGAATCTGAAACTAATCAGATGTCGATATTTTTTTACAGATGCAATTAAAATCACCAGAGATTGTGTATATATGTCTCTAAAATCACTTTCGTAAATGTTTAAGATATTTGTCAAATCTATTTACTAGTATCTCCCCATGAAATAGCGTAACAATGATAGCTATGTGCAGGTATATATACTTATTGTAAAAAATATATGATAGCTAGGGTAACTGCATGTATGTTCTTTTATCATTCAATATATATAGTCAAATGCGTTTTGTTAAAATATACTTTTTCACTCATTTGGTCTTTTGGAAAATGTTGTTTGTGCTGTATTTAGACCCCTCTACCAAGGAATTTGTTTTGCATGCACACGTATAAAAATTGCGGTTTTTATCCAACGCAATCATAGGTTTGAACGTTGTTTTCAATTTAGACTTGTTTATATTTTTTCGTTTGGGCTTGTATTATATTTGCCTTCGGACTTATATGATCCGTTCATCCTATTTTGACTCTTTCAAAATTCAAGAGTCTATCCTAAATTGAGGTAAATTATATGGCCTTCAAAATACCGTTTCGATTCCTAACATCACTGAAGAGACATTAATTGTCGAAATCCGGATATGGTGTACAAATGTTTGCACCTCATGTTTGCGGTATACCATCTTTTCCGCAAGTTTATTGTTTTCTGTTTGGTAATAAATTAATGATAAGATCTAATTGTTACATCTTGTGATCCGTTTATTTGTCAATCGCCAATGGCAGTCAGCAGGGTTTAAGCACATCAGTTGTTCGACCTGCTAGTCAAATGCGTTTTGTTAAAATATACTTTTTCACTCATTTGGTCTTTTGGAAAATGTTGTTTGTGCTGTATTTAGACCCCTCTACAAAGAAATTTGTTTTGCATGCACACGTATAAAAATTGCGGTTTTATACGTGTGCATGCAAAACAAATTTCTTTGTAGAGGAGTCTAAATATATATATATATATATAAAGGGTGGGGTATTGGATGTCTCAGCTGCTCACCTCTGCCATAGAAAGGTCGAAGTGCCGCCGCCGCCGCCCCCGCCCCCTGAGATAAAAATTCTTGTGTAAATTAATATTAATCGAACAGAAATTATTTGATATCTCCGTTTTAAAATGTTTGTGTTGCCTTTAGATTATCTTACTGAGTAGGGGGCCTCGGTGGCCGAGTGGTCTAAGTAGTTACTACTGTAATAACTAGCCAGTCAACACTGAGGTTGTGAGTTCGAACCTCGCTCGTGCGGGTGCACTCGACTCCAATCTTAATTGACTAGGATTGTCAGTTTTCCTATCGAAGGTCGGTGGTTTTCTCCGGGCGCTCCGGCTTCCTCCACCAATAAAAACTGGCCGCCACGAAATAGCCCAAAAGCGGTGCTTAAAAGTGGCGTTAAAACACCAAAAATCAAATCAAATCAAATTTTACTGAGTATAAATAAATATAACCTAAGAAAAAGGCATTTTCCTAAAAGTTTTCTTATGTTTTCACGTATAAAATGTACGTAACATGAAATAATCACGTGTGTGTTTACAAATCTTCAGGAGATTTGGCTATTTATAGATAAGTGTTACCTGTGTACCGATATGCATGATTGGTAACCAGGCAAATCTATTTACTAAAATAAAGAGTTCAGATCCGACACTCTACGGGATTAAAAGACATTTACTAGGTTTGAATTGTCCCAACCAATGAACGAAATTTAATTATGACAGCGTCAGTAATATCTTCCAATTAGATAGTAAGAAAGCCTTCAGCCCGCAGACTGTCCATCGTTCAACTCTTAATACCGTCTCCGAGGAGACGGTAATAGAAAGTAATCAAACAGAACTCAAACTATAGGAGATGTGGAATAAACTTCAATTTGACAGCATCCAAACGACAAAAACGCCATAGGTAAATCAGATATGTCTTTGAGTAAAAGCCAATTTCTATTGTTTCACTGTTTTTATTTCAAATAGCGCAATTAAACAATCACTTTTTCCAAATATATTTTTTCTAACAAAGCATCAAAGAAAAGATCAACAGCCCTTTTATCATTACTACTTAGCAACAAGGAAACATAATTTACCAGTTAAAGATTGGTTGGATCAATTTTCAAGGTGATCAGACATTACACAAGAAGAGCGCGTGCCCCGTAAAAATGTTAACTTGTATTTGTAGTATTTGTATTTTTATCCATCTGATGAGTTAAGCCTTTTTCAACTGATTTTTATAGTTCGTTCTTATGTTGTAGTTACACCACTGTCCCAGGTTAGGGGGAGGGTTGGGATCCCGCTAACATGTTTAACTCCACATTCTGTATGTATGTGCCTGTCCCAAGTCAGGAACCTGTAATTCAGTGGTTGTCGTTTGTTTATGTGTTACATATTTGTTTTTTGTTCATTTTTTGTACATAAATTAGGCCGTTAGTTTTCTCGTTTGAATTGTTTTACATTGTCATTTCCGGGCCTTTTATAGCTGACTGTGCAGTATGGACTTTGCTCATTGTTGAAGGCCGTACGGTGACCTATAGTTGTTAATTTCTGTGTCATTTGGTCTCTTGTGGAGAGTTGTCTCATTGGCAATCTTACCACATCTTCTGTTTTATGATAACTTTTAAATCTCTTAAGATTTTCGAACCAACTTTGAACATATTTTTTTACATTATAATAATCAATCTTAATTTACAATCTTGGTGCATATTTAACCTTTCCATTCATATCCTTAGTTCAGACGACATAGTACTATTGGCAGAAAGTGCTGATGATTTACAGAAACAGCTGGATTCTTTCAGTGAATACTGTAATATTTGGAAGCTTAAAGTTAACTAAAGTGATGATTTTTTGTAGAGGCAGAATGCCGTCAAATTTACATTTTTATATAGCTATAGACGGCACTGACATTGAAAATATTAAAAGAATTTAACTATTTGGGCATATTATTATCTAGAACTGGTAATACTAAAATAGCACAGAAACACCTAGCAGAAAAAGCCACACAAGCTATGTTTAAGGTGTTGAAATCAGGCCGCATACATAATCTTTCCACTCAGTGTCACTTAGATCTTTTCTATAAAGTTGTGAAACCCATACTTTTGTATGGATGTGAAATTTGGGGGCATGGTGATGTTGAAATTATAGAAAGAATCCATCAGAAATTCTGTAAACTTCTTTTGAAACTGAAAATTCCACACCTAGCTATATGGTATACGGAGAACTTGGTAGATATCCTTTAAATTAAAAATAGTATCTTATTGGTGTAAATTAGTATCTGCTAAAGAGACTAAGTTATCTTCTATCGCATATACACTATTAAAAACACTATTTACTGTTAATAATGTATGTACATTTTTTGTGAGTGAAGATAAAAATATATTGGATGAATGTGGTTTTTCAAATATTTGGATTTCTCAATGTTTTGGTAATGATATATGATTAAAAAATGCACTAAAGTTGCGATTACAAGACCAATACAAACAGTTGTGGAATACACAATTTCAAGAGTCTACATAATCAGTAAATTATAGAATTTTTAAGTTAGAATTAAATTTTGAAAAAAAATATTTTGATATGTTGGATATGCACGAAAGTATTATTTTATGTAGATATAGAACCACAAACTACAGACTCTCAATAGAGACAGGGAGGTGGAATAATGTTAATAGAAATGAGAGAAAATGTCATCTTTGTAATATTGGTAGCATTGGAGACGAATTTCATTATCTTCTAGAATGTCCATTTTTTAACGACAGTAGAAAATTATACCTTGATAAGTACTATTTGGCTTATGTTAATACACTAAAGTTTAGAAAATTGATGAGCAAATTAAACAAAAATATAGAACTAAAAAGATTATGTAAGTTTATAAAGTGTATAAATAAACATGTGGGTCTTCCTAGCTAAAATGTATATTATTTGGAAACCACTGTATTGTATATATGTTTTGTAAATAGATGCATATTCATGTACATATTTTGCACTCTCTCTGTACCTATGTATCTGCAATGGTTATGGGAATAAAGATATTGGTATTGGTTTATATGAACTCGTCAAGCTTCGGTGGATTCAATCAACACTATGATAACTGGACACATTATACAAAAGTCGGCGCGTGCCATGTAAAATATTAATAACTCTTTCATTTCTAAATACATTTACACCAAAATTTAAATATATGCTCTTTATTTACAACATTATCATACTGAATGACCTTGGTACTTATATGACTGTTCCATCATGGGCTTAGTGCAGTTTTCAGAGCTTAGTGCACCAAGGCGGCCTAGGTGGTGTTTAGA